GATTATGACATGCTGTTTTTTAATGCATAAATTTAGTTTAAATATTTCTTCTGAATCAGATTGTGTACTAGGTTTGTGAGTACCTGACATTATATATTTGCAGGACCTCTGTGGTTTTGTACACTGTTGTCACACAGCAACTATATATATATCCATATATATAGAGAGAGAGCGAATAGAAGTCCTGTTATTCAGTAAATACAGAGCTCTGATTGGCTTTTTTATACAACATTATGCGCATCTGATTCTAAACTTAATTCTCCAATCTCCATGGCGTCAAATTTATGCGCAATTTCTGTTCTGGATATATCAATCTTATTTCTGTGACAGAGGATCAGGACAAGCCCACAAAGTCGAGCTTCAGTCATGGAAGATCTTGTCCATATCGGCTATCAAAATGGGGAAGGGGGTATTAAAGGATATGAAAACTTGAGCTGGGGGGTGGGACTGTCCAAGGGCAAATGCCTCATTGATTTTTCATGGCTGGCTACGGCCCTGTATTCCATCCTGTAACTCGAAAGCTTGTTTCATTTTAGTGTTTTTCGCTGTTGTTGTTGTTTTATACATTATTCAAGTGTTGATCAGAAATACGGCTTAGTTTTTGCTAAAAAAACTTTTATTAAGAAGACATCAAGAACTTAAAGAGCTGTGTGATCGATAAACTTTCACGCAGAACAAAACAAAAACAAAAAACAATGCGTTCCATTGGCACAGCAATAATTCTGATGGCTTAGAACGCTAAAATCCGAGTTTCGATACTCCTGGTGGGCACAGCACAGATAGCCCAGTGTGTAACTTTGAGCTTAACTACAAATAACAATCAGTTCTGTTAGTTTCCTGTCGTTCCACGACACTTACTTTGACTTTGATCTTATATCAGTAATTTTTGTTTATATCTCCAAGTTGGGATATTCATTCGTTTTCTATCCATCCATTTTGAGAAGAATTAGGACAGTTTGCCCATCGTTTTCTCTAAACTAACGACTTTGAAAAACCTCGTTACTGAAAATATATATAGATGGCGACCTTTCACGTGCTCCTCATCAACGTTTATAACTTTTCTTTTGCTATTTTTATTTATTGAAATGGACACATATAATAAATTGTGTGTATTCATTGTATAAACAAACAATTTTTAACATCAGGTTTAAAAAAACGGTTCGGAAAATCATTTATATTTGAAATAAATGAGTATTTGGAGAAATAATATTTTGGTATAAAATATGAAACATTTAAAGTAAACAATTTGATATATAATCTGTACATCAATTCGTGTCTCCTACCACCTACACCAGTGACTCAGCGGTAAGTCTGATGGCTCATAAAGCTAAAAACCGGGTTTTGTTACTCGTGTGGGCACAGCACAAACTGCCCATTAGATAGCTTTGTGCTTCACGATAGACAAAGGTCTGGCATAGCCCAGTGACTAGGGCGCTTAACCCGCAATCTGTGGCTCTTGGATTCGAATCCCCGTCACCGAACATGCTCGCTCTTTCAGCCGTGGGGGCGTTATAATGTGATGGTCAATCCTACTATTCGTTGATAAAAGCTGGTGGGTGGTGTTAACTAGCTACCTTCCCTCTAGTCCAGTGATTCTCAACCAGGGGTAAATTTACACCTTGGGGGTAATAAATTACATGGCAGGGGGAAATAATTGATGTAATTGATGATTGAATAATAATTCAATTCAATTTCATTTTGTAAAAATGTGTGTGTGTGTGTGTGTGT